CCATGTTAAGTGTTTCCTCCTCAACGTTCCAACCTCCATATCATTCCTTTCCTCGTTCCATTATTATTATTTTTTGTTCGTTCCATCAAAGTCAACATGGCAGCACTCTGATTGTCAGAGACTATGACATGGTCATTTCTCACTGGCCTGTTTTCCTCTCAATGCTTGAGGGACAGAAAGTTTTGCCAGTCCTGTCCCCCGACATTAAAATGGAGTCAGTAGACTTGTTGTGAGGAAAATTGATGTTACAATTTGCAGTACCTGAACAGATTGTTGCAGATACCATCAAATTCTAAGCTATCTTATTTAATAAGCATATTCTTTAAAACAAGTAGCTACTACATTGTCAGAAATGTCTTTTATAGGCGTGTCAGAGAACTGAACAGCAGCAACACAAAGAAGTTTTTGGAAGAAAGGAAGCGGGTAAGTGATGTGATTGTCTCAGATACAATAAACATTTATGCCAGAGATGAGACAATCACAGGAGACTTATTTTTTTGGGGGGGGGTGTCAACTTTTAACCCCTAACTACCCCCCACAGGCTATGCTGGGGCTTATAGAAGCACAGAAATGTTTGTGTTTAGGCTATCTGTGTTCCACATGATGACTACAGTAGTTTGTAAATGCCTCAAAACTTTAATACTCTGAATTCTGTGATCATGTTAGAAGCCAGTTTACTTAGGGAATAATGCTTCTCCTGTCATTTAAGTAGACTGCTCTTCCACCAAATAGTTAATTCTCAATATGTCTAATACTAACCTGTTGTTTGTATCAGTTGCCTATGTGGGTAATTTGAAGTGTATTTAACAACATTATGCTGAATTTTGGCACATGAGCATTAGTAATGCAAAAGGAGGCATTTTGAGATCTCCAGATAAATCTTTCCCTCCACGACAGTAGGCAACAAATGTCTTTGGTAGAATTTCCACAGTGGGGAGAACAATGTTTTAAACAACAACAAAAGCCTACTGTTGTACAAAGTTGCCTCTTTTTCTGCAAAAGTGCCTGCCTGGGGTTGGCACAAAAATAGGCAAGATACAGATTCCATGAATTGCCTTAAATTAAGATTAAGAATTTGAATCACTCAGTATGGTTTCCTGACTACCAGATACTTCTTCTGCACTTGCTCTGTGTGTGTGTGTTTGTGCTTTGCCTCTCAAAGGGAAAGGACACAAGAAATCTTTTTTATTTAAATTGCAAAGCCTTTGAAGATAGAAAAGCAAGGAAAGAAATCCAACTGTCAGTCTCAACCTCCACTAAATCAGTAAATGAATGGCCAAGACTTACATAGGTCCAGCTGATCCAGTGTAATTGCTGTGGAGACTAAAAATTGAATCAGCCCACTGTATTTTGAAATGCAGTTCTTTGGCCATTTGATTCTTTCTCTGCATTGTTTGGGGCATGAAGAATTGTGCCAGAAGCATCATCTGGGAAGATCTACTTATTCTTAACAATTTAGGTAGCCACTAAGAAAATTCTGTATTTTATTTTTGCATGTTTCTAATTTTATGTCTAGCTGGCAATGAAGCAATCAAAAGAGATGGATCAGCTGAAAAAAGTCCAGCTTGAGCACCTAGAAATTCTGGAGAAGCAAAATGAACAGGTAATCATGTCAGATGCCATAAATGAGAAGCACAAGTGTGAGTTACAATATTTTTATCTAATTAATTAGTTAAATAAGGGGTAGGGGAAGCTGTGGTCTCAAGATATGGTTGAACTTCAACTTGTATTAGCCCCAGTTAGCATAGCCAGTGGTCAAGGATCAAGTTCTGTCAGACTGATGGATTTTTAGAAATATCCTCTCAAAGTAAACCACCAAATAATGAGCAATTAATTTGTAAGTATTTTAAGTGAATTATTTTTAATGCAGATATTCACAGAATTTAGAGAAGTCTGGCACCATCAGGGAAGAGGCATGTTTTCCTTTATCCATCAAACAGCACATGCCATTTCTGTTGAGGAAGTGTCTGAGCAACCATGTGTTTTCATGATTTATGGAGGTCCAAATAAATAAGAGAGGCAGATAGAACTTTGCATTGCTCAAATTCGTCAAAGTAGCTAATGACGGAATTGATGTTTTGATGCTAGAAAGAGTGCTCTGTGGTTTAGATTGTAATAGTGAGTATTTTGTATTCTTGTACTCTTGTATTTGTTTTTGTTTTGGAAATTAAAGATAATTAAAAAAATAGAAAGAGTTGGTTCACATAGCAATCCATATTCTGGGAGACAAGATACCAGGTCTTAAGCCCATGCATTCTGGGTCCCCATTGTGGGGAATGAAGATGAATAACTGAGTATGTGTCTCCTACAACTAAACTCACCCTTACTTAATCTTTACATAGTTAGAGGAGAGCTGCATGAACTTGAGGCTGAGTGTGATACAGTATGTATCATCTACACATCAAGGTGATGTGTGACTAGTCCTGAGAACAAACACACTTCATCCTAAGATTTCCAGCTGTGTAGTTATCAACTGGCTCTACAATCTAAATAAAGATTGTGCCCTGTCTATACAAGAGAGGCTTTCTAACTTTTCTGGACGATAGCTCAGCCCTCACTGTTTACCATGTAATGGCATGTTGACAGTTCCCCATCTTCAAAAGCAGCTTCTGGAATATGTCCATATACCCAAGTTAGCAAATAAAGCAGGAAACACCAGACACCCTTCACACATGCTGAGCCTCTGCTTTTGTCTCAGACAGGCCTCTCAGTCGTACCCCAGAAGCCAATTGGTTGAATTGCATTTATCTGAATGGCAGAGGAACAAGAACTGTTAACTGTTTTCCCTATAAAAATTAAGCATGCAAGAATGTATAGAGTCTTTTAGGAGTGGCTACTACCGTTAGTTTTAACATCAAGAAGTTTTTTTTTTAATGCTACCAAGGTTTTTGATATAGAAAAATTAGGTCCAGCCCTAATGGGAAACCACTGCAAATGAGAACCTTGGCTTGTTCAACTAACCATGGTTTAAACAAACAATTATTATTTGAATATTGGCACAATTGAGAGCTTTTAGTTGCCTCCTTAGATACTCACTAGAGAGATGGGTTAACCCAATGCACAGCCAAGTTCCTTTACATAGCAGAAATGTGATGTTTTCCATTATATCTAAACCAAACCTGTCATGCCTGCCTTAGAATGGCTGAGATTCAAGTGGTTTGCATTATACGTCAGCATTATATTTGATACGAATCTGAAATAATTTAGTTTATTTAACTGACTAAGTATTAATACAAACTGACTGAGACTTGTGGCTCAGGTTGTCATTTTTAAAATACATTTTCTCGCATTTAATTTGACTTCATTGTATTTGACTTCTATGAATGTAAGATGTTCATTCATGCACACAAAACTCTTAATAATGTAACCCTGTACCCACTTACCCGAACATGTTTCTGAAGTTGGTTGGGTTTAGTTCTTGGTAGATGTGTACAGGGTTATCCTACGGAAACACTAGCGATGTTTGGTGTTAAAATTGATTAGCAAGTCCCCAATGAAAGCATATACACACCACATAGCATTTGACCAGCTTAAGTAATTACTCAGATACTTCTTTTAAGATAAAATGAAAATAGATCTTTACTCACTGAAAACTTGCAAGTTTCAAGCACAAGTTGTAGTAAAATACACAATAGTAAACAAACTGTCTCAGAGGGTAAGAAGAAGGATGAATAAAAGGTTGAAATAATAAAAGGCAAAAGTGGGTTTTCTCAGACTGCATGGTTGCGAGAAAAAAATATGTTGGACATAAGGAAGGGGCTCAGGAGAGCATCCTCCCTCTGCCTTGTCTCAAAAATGTTCTGGTACTAAAACAAAGGCAGTAAAACAATTGAAGGACAGAAGAGGTGTTACCTTTGCCCACCAAGAAAGGATCTTAGTCAACTGGTCAAAGAGAGGAGGCAGGTCAGTCCAACTACCCAACGTATTAGTAAACGAATTAGTGTATGATCCTCTCGGGTGATCATACACTAATTTGCATGTTGGCTTGTTAATTAATTCCAACAATAAAATCCCTATTTTGTAAGTTTTGTTGCTTGATGTAAGTGGAGGATGTACAAAGTGCACATAGACATTAGTTGTTATGAACACACATATATATTTGTTTTGCTTGCATGTGTCATTTTCATCTCCGCTTTCATTCATTTTGTTTGCCTGCTTATTGTGTTACTCAATGTTGACATTACTATTTTTTGTGCAAACAGCTTTTGAAATCCTGTCATGCAGTCTCTCAAACTCAAGGTAGGATTAATATGTACTGAGCAAGGTACTCTATTCAGTTCTTCCATGCCTAATTTATCACTCAGACACTTCTTGTAGATGTAACTAGTGACTGATGAATTCCACTTATCTTGATTTGGAACTGGCTCAGTATACAATATATATGTTTATGTAGAAAGCATTTGCATTTCTAAGAGGTTTTTTTTTGTTGGACCTGTTATTGGCACCTTTGCACCGAACATGGATAGGGCATTCCCCAGTTCATTTGTACGTCATAGTATGTGGTCAATCGTGTTCACATTGTAATAGTTCTCCCAGTTTTTTGAACAATGGACAACTCAACTGGTTTTGGCTTTAGGCGTGTGACCTGGTGAATGCCGACCATACATGTGCATAATTTTGTGCCGCAACAAGTTTGTACTGTTTCAGGAGATATCTATTTTTTCTGCTGGTCCTTGTCAAAGTGGGAGAATTTCTTTCTCTCCCCCCTCCCCCTAGTAAGATATCCACTAATTCTTATCTAGGATCCTTGCCAGGGAGTTGTGGATCAGCGTTAAGGTCAGTCCATAAACTGAACACAGGCATAGCATGTAGTTCGCAGTTCCGTGTCCATTTTAATCTTTGGAACATTTGCTGATTTCAAATGGGCCGTGAGACTGAGAGGGCAGGTTAAGATTTCATTTTCAGATTGGGACAAAGAGTGGCAGATCTCAAGTCCTACTTGCCAACAGATGTTACGGCACCTGTGAAAGAGCATTTCTCCCACGGTGATTTGTCTTTTTCATGATGTGTCAATATCCCAAAATAGCTTCATTGCTTCAGAAGTACCTTAGATCAAATTAAGCAATGATTTCTATAAGTACAGCACGCTGTTTATATATTTGGGAGACACTTGATGTGAGCATTTATTTGAAACAAATTAAACAGGAAGGTTTACCTTATGTGTAATTGGTGCTGTTGACAAACCTTTGGACCTGTAAGAACTGATTATCAGTCTGCTTTTACTTCCCACAGTCTGAACATACATTGCTCAAGGGAAGCAGATAGATACACATGAAATTAATCTGTGAAATGGAACCTACCCACCCACCTCCAATCTTTTCAAGTAGCAAAATTAGACCCTCAAGTTGTTTTATTAAATTTCTGATGCAAAGCAAGAAATGGAACATGCCATAGTTTTAACCCGTTTTTCCCTTAATAGGCAGGACAACTTTCATGTAAGAACCAAAGTATAAATTGTGAATCTAATATGATTTCATAAAGACAATAGGTAGAAATAAGATCACATAGTTGGATTTTCTTTTATGGTTATAATTTCTTTGGATTGCTGTTTTAATCATTGATTAAATGCCATCGCTATTCTAAGAGATCTGTACAAAAAAATCAATTGAAATTATATATGTTTCTGTTTGATAATTTTAGTGAATGCCAGTAATATACACTTAGCAAATGTAAAAGGCTATTTTGTGTCTCTTTAAAAAGAAAACAAAAAAAAACACAAATGGTTAAAGCTTTGCACCCGGAATGCTGAATATTATGGTTACATGAGATGATTTGAAAATGTAGTAGAACCGGTGCCCAGAAGTGATTCTAGTGAAGTTCATCAAACAGTCACTAGGGTTTTGCTCTAGTCATTTAAAGGCAATTGGAGGGAGGCAATCCAGAGATGCCTGGGTTTTATTTAGAGCATTCCAGCTGTTGAAGTAAAAAACGTAGGTCAGCATTTCAAAAGAGGCTGTACTTGCTGATCCATGCATTATGTTTCCATATTTCCACTTATGATTTTTTTTTTACATTAACTTCTGGCTTGAGATATGTTAAAGGGCATGAATTTAGTGGTGTTTAATTCAGGGTGGTGTGTGTGTGTCACTTGGACTGCTAAGTTATGAAATTCAGTCATTGGCTGACAGTACCCCCACGTAACTTTTTATACTTGTATGTACGGGGTGGAGAATTGAATTTCTCTAGTGTTCATAGATTGTTGATTCATTCAGTAATTATTTGCATGCACAGCAGCTCCAGTAAGCATACACTGAGTTACAGTGACCAAAAGGTTATTTATCTGCATGTTTAGGAGAATCACACAGTGTTTTTTAAATTCTTCTCTCTCTCTCTCTCTCTCTCTCTGTCTCTCTGTCTCTGGTGTGTTCACTTTTGTGCACTTGGTCACATGACAATTTGCACAATCTCATCATCAGCTCAGTAGCATGTTGTAGAGACTTATGCTATCATGCAAACTAGGCATGGGCTATTTGTGCCAAATGTACTTAACATTGGCTAATCACAACACCACGGGGGCCCATTACCTCCCCCCCCCCCAAATTATCCATTCTACTCACCAGTTGCTGCCTGGCGCTTGACTCCATCATTGTGCCAATTGTGGAAGGGGCCCAGCTGACTCTTCTCCACCTCCCCAGTCATCAATTGAATGGGGAGGCTCCCCATCCCACCTCCCCTGCTCCAAAGTTGTTGACTGCACCGGGGGGAGCAAGGAAAAGCCAGCTGGGCTCCTTCCATGACTAGCATGATGATAATGTAGCCAAGCACTACACTGAGAACAGTGAGTAGTCCAGACAGTTCTGGGGGGGAAAATGGACCCTTGTGGTGCTGCAGTTTGTATTCATATCTCCAAGGATTCAAATATGAATAGCCCATGTCAAATGCAAACAAAGAGGATTCCAGTTACTGAGCAAAAGCTCTGCACGTTGAAAAGTGGTTTGCACACTTGCCCCCTCCCATTTGGTTAGAAATCACAGCTCAGAGTGGAAGTCTCAATTTATGTTCTTCCCCCTTCTTTCTTTCTTTCTTTCTTTCTTTCTTTCTTTCTTTCTTTCTTTCTTTCTTTCTTTCTTTCTTTCTTTCTTTCTTTCTTTCTTTCTTTCTTTCTTTCTTTCTTTCTTTCTTTCCTTCTTTCTTTCTTTCTTTCTTTCTTTCTTTCTTTCTTTCTTTCTTTCTTTCTTTCTTTCTTTCTTTCTTTCTTTCTTTCTTTCTTTCCTTCTTTGTTTCCTTCTTTCCTTCTTTCTTTCTTTCTCCTTCCCTCGTCTTCAGCCGTACTAACTGTACCGTTGTCCTGGTTTGCAGGCAAAGGAGATGCAGCAGATGGTGAAGCTAGAGGCAGAGATGGATCGCAGGCCAGCAACAGTGGTATAAAGCTGTGAGGTGAAGACTGACGTCTGACATTCCACCTTGTGGCAGTCCCGATGCTCATTCACTGAGGAGTAGGAGGCTGGCTCTCTTCTGCTTCGTGTCAAGTGTAGCTACGCATGATTGACAAGCAGCTTGGAAATTAACAAACAAAACAAAACATTGTTTCTTCTTTTTAAACAAAAACATTTGGACTGTGCTGTATTTTATTTTCCTTTTGTCACAATATACCATTTTTGAAAGAAAGAAAGAAAGAAAGAAAGAAAGAAAGAAAGATTGATTGATTGATTGATTGATTGATTGATTGATTGATTGATTGATTGATTGATTTTAACGTCCTGTCCAATTCTATTAAAAACCATTCAATGCCTTGTTTGTCTTTAACAGGGTTACAGTCCAATCTAGAACAGCAATGTTCTTTTTCTTCCCCTTCAATAGTTTGCACTTCTGTTTTTAAATTGTGTTGCTATTTATATTATATTTTGCTTGGGCTTCCGTGTGTTATAAAAGCCAGCCAGGTGTCCTGGAACTTTGCAGAGTCTCTCAAGATTCTGGCCCAAGAATCTTATTAAATTTCATATGAAATTTAACACTGGCCATAATTCTTACAAAATGTACCAACATCTGTAACTGAGTTTCCAAAAGGAAATGATCTTTTGCCCTCTTTTAGTTCGTTGGTTGGTTCGATAGTTGTGAAGACAACCTTACAGAAATAGATCTGTATCAGAATGGTTCAGTGTGAAGTGCTGTTGTTTTGGGATTTCAGCTATTCTATGCCATTCCCTTTTCCCCAACCTCAGGGGTTTGTTTGAGGGGGGGGCGGTAGAGCGAGGGAGGGGGAAGAATCCACCTAGCGTCCAGACAGGCTTAACATTATGGCTAGGTATGCTTATTCTTCATTGGGTTGTCTTATTAGGTTTTCCTCCAAAGAGAATATTTTTTTGTACTTCTACAAAATTTTGGGCCTCCCTACAGGCCGCCTCACCACGCCTTCCTCTTGTGCATGGATGGTGCCATTTTGGCCATGCACAGACTGGCGCTTGGAGCATTGAGAACATACGGTATTGTGGAAACTGCCATCTATCAACAGCATAGATAAACAAGCAGCTTAAAAGCTGTGCAAATTATTTCTGTATTCAGAATTGTGTGAGCAGCAAATGCTAGATCAGGTGGGAGTAGTCTAGACTGAACTGGCATTAAAAAAAATGCTGCACAAAGGATTGTGAAGGGGGAAGGTTGTCATTGTGCCAAATGTACTTAAAAGGCGAAAGCATTGTATTCGGGGCACTTTAACAAATGTTTACATACTACTTAACAGTTGCTTTTTGTTACCAATCTCAAATACTACAGCTCATTGTATCTCAAAATTTGTTTAATAAGCTGTTGGGTTGGGCGGGAGGGAGTTTGTAACTGTGAAAATGTAAAGTATTTATACACATATGATCATAATATTGTAGGAAATCACATTTCCGTGGCAACATCGATGACAGTAGTCAACAAAATTCTATTTGCATGTGATACGAACACAAATTTTGACTTCAGTGAATATTGTATGATCACACAGTCAATCTTGTACTGTTAAATAAGTACAGAGTTGATGTATTATACAGAATATTTGATTAGCAAAACATAAGTATATATATACATATATATATATGTATAATGTGTATATGAATTATGTGGGCATTCTTACTACTTCAAGTTCTAGTTGAAAAAGGAAAATGTTAACTTAATTTTACACAATATATGCAGATTTTCAGACTTTCATATCAGGAATAACCCTTTTTATGTCTATTAGATATCCAGACAATTTGCTACAGTATTAATGTGCATGTTTTCAAGGCCCGCTGTAGTTAGCAATGCAGAACAACGCATGTCAGACCTCTGCTTGGAATTGTCCATGCTACCAACATAAAAGAGACTGTGGGATGCTGGTAGTTTAGAATAAACCAGACAACTGATTTTAATCAGTACCAATCATGTTGTTGTACACGCTTGTACAAACTGATTCTACATGTTCCTATAAATGACGTTAAATAAAGAGATGATTATGTAACTGTCTCAAGATAAAACTTTCAGATTCTCAAATAAAAAGAAAAGAAAAACATATGGATTATCTGCATGTTTTATAGCTTTTGATTTTTATCAATACTGACTGGAGCATTGGTTTACGGCTCTTAGATTTTTCCAGGTTTCTAGAATTTTTTTAAAGTGGAATTTTCAGACTGTGTGTGTGTGTGTGTGTGTGTGTGTGTGAGAGAGAGAGAGAGAGAGAGAGAGATGCTGTCAAGTTGGAACTGACTTTGTGGAGACCCAAATAGAGCTTTCAAGGTGAGTGAGATATTTAAGGAGTGGTTTTAATAATTCCACTCCACCATGAGTTTCCATGGCCAAGTGGCAATTCAAACTCCACTTTCTTGGGCCCCAATCTGTCACTCTACCCAATACACCACACTGGTTATTATTTTCAAACTCTTAAATAGACCAGTAATAATAATGGAGTGCCATCAAGTCAACTGCAGCTTCTCAAGGTCTTCTGTTTATGAAGTAATGAAAATAGCTGCTGGATAGCCCAGTGGTTTAAGTACCTGTTTGTGGAGTCAGAGGTTGGGAGTTCAATCCTCACTGTTCCTCCTTGACAGAAGCTTGACTCAATATTCCACAGGGTCCCTTCCAGTTCTGCAATTCGGAGATGATGATGATGATGATGAAGAAGAAGAAGAAGAAGTGATTTATCTGATGTTTCTTCTGGGGGTTATCTGGAACTATGTAGGTTAGCAAAAGCCACACAGGCTGCCTCTTCTCTTACAAGCCACAATGGGGAATTGAACTCCCTGTCCTTGACCCTACAGCCAGGTGCTCCAACTCAGTCAACTATTAGCCAAGGGAAAACTCAAGCTGCGCCATGAAGCAAACTTACTAATTTGTGCTGTGAGCTCCACATGATGTCATATTCTACCCATATAAATTTAGATTTAACCTGTGATTTGTTTCTATGTTAAGGAAAAAGCAGCTTGCTGTGAATCAGTGGAACCCCTCCTGAACATGGTCAATATTGCCTTTCAACAATAATACAGAACTTCCATGTAACAATAGCACAATGTCCCTGGCTTTAACCCTCAGTCAACAAGTACTTACTGGCTGGCCCATCTTCACATTCTACTTTCATATCCTTTGTTCCTTTTGATTTTTATGGGGACCGAAGGGATCAATTCCCTTGCTTGAACCATCAGTCCTGCTGTTTAAAGCAGCAAGGATGTCTGGCATTTTCCTGATCAGGCTTAGAGCATAGTGGGATTCCCAAGCAATCATCTACAGCGTCCATTGTGAGGTCACTGTCATTATTTGTTATGTGACTGTTGCCCAGTTACATGCTGGAACAGTACATTTCACAGCAAAATACCGAAGGTCTCACACCCCTAGCAGTAGCAGCAGTGTTAGTAGGATCAACAAATGTCAGGAATTTTCTTTCAGTGTTGTCCTAGAAGATTTGCATTTCTTTCTCTTTCCTTATGTCTGCTATCCCAGGGAGTGGCCTAGCACCTGATTCAGAATTCCAAGCAGTCTTCACAGAAATTTAGTTTCTCCTGGCATTAAAATGATTGTTGGCCAGATTATTATTCAAACATTGTTGCCTTTGATTTTTAGTAGATCACCTATAACAGTAGAGGTGTGTCTGTCTGTCTATCTGCCATAACTCGGAGGCCTTGAAACCTAGAGGTCAGAAACTTGCCTTACCCTGAGGGCAAGGTCCAAAAATGTGACAGGTGCTCCCTGAATGTGGTGCTTTGCCCCGTCCGGGCAAATTCTGTGCAGGGAGCATGTCCATTTGCCCAGGAATTGTAATGATCCTGCTTCCAGAAAGAAAGGAAAAGAAAAGAAAGAAAATGTGCAGGAAACTTACAAAAACACTTGTGTGATTTCCTGAAAGAAGTCTCATTGCTGGGAGGAGAGATGCACACATGCATAAAAACAAACACCCTTCAGTGAACCTTTCCTCTCTTGTTTTGACAATCTGGGGTTGGCAGGAATATCAGATATAAGAAATGGACACCTTCTTGTCCCCTTCTGAAAGTGAATCTCGATTCAGTTTCTCACATGCGTAATTTTTTTAAATTATTATTTCCCTTCCGTGGTCCTACATTACGGGTGGGATGTCTAAAAGAGAAGCTAATTCACCCGCATACATGCTTTGCCCAAATATTACTTTGCTACATGCATGCAAATGTCCGATGCCATCTGGTCGAAATTATTCATTACTTTTCGAGAGCTGTTTTAGTCTATCATTCTTTCCCGGGAATCCATCGTTAATAAATAAAATCCTTTATGGTTCTGTCTAATTTTTGCTCCTGATCAGCTTCAAACATAGCAGAACAGTATGCATGTATTATGCAGGTTTCAAATGAATGAATGAATGAATGAATGAATGAATGAATGAATGAATGAATGGATGAATGAATGAATGAATGAATGAATTTACATATGCTGCCCAATTAGTGAATTCACACAAAACCCCACAACTCCCACCCACTTTATTCTCATAAAAACATACTATAGTGACATAATCAAAATGGCAATATAACTGACTCAAATGTGGTGGTCTACAAAATCCTTCGGTTCAAATGTTAAAATTTACATCATTTGAGAGTGAATGATGTCCTTAAGGCTGATTTATATAACTCTGCCTTGAGTAATTTCTTGAAGACTGGGAGGGACGGAGCCTCGTGCACCTCAACTGGTAGCTTATTCCACCAAGCGAGGGTTGTTACCAAGAAAGCCTGACTCCTTGTCTTTACCTTTCTGGCTTCCCTCACTGTAACCACATTTAACACTGTGGATTGAGAGGAGCACATGGCACAGGAAGCTGATTTTTGGGGGGAGATGTTCTGACAAGTATAAAAATAAGTGCGCTCCGGAAATCTGTTTCATGGGCCTGCCACAGTTGTGCATTGACTGTTGTTCTTTCTTGTTCTGTTTTGAGATTCCCATTCATAAAATAAGGCTCTGAACTCTGAAGGGTTGACAAAATCCACAATGCACTCATGTGGGGGTGGGGGGTGTTACAGAGGCAAACCCCAAGGTCTTGTGTTCAACGGTCTTTTATCACCATTTAGAATCAATAATAGAGATAGATACGAACTGAACCATGAACCAGAAAACCCAACAGATCAGGCCGTTTTGTAGGTTTTTTTCATGAAACAGTTTGGCGTTCCTGT